TTGGCTGCACATTAGAATCACCTGGGAGTCTTTTTAAAATCCTGATTTCTGGGCCTCATCAATGGCTAACTTGGAAGGTCAGACAATTAAGTTTATCTCTTCTATTATTCAAGCTAAAAAAACAAAGTTATTTTACAGTCTAAAAATAATAGAGAGAAGTAGCAGCCCTGTAGGTTGCTTGGTGTAAAAAAATAAAAAATTAAAAAATAAAAAAAATAAAAATGATAGAGAATTTCAAAACATCAGAGAATTCTAAAACAGCAGTTTTCCCTAAGGAGGGATCATTACCATGCTTCACTTTCCTTTTTTTAAAAAAATATACTTTATTGGTTTTTTACAGAGAGGAAGGGAGAGGGATAGAGAGAAACATCGATAAGCTGCCTCCTGCACACCTCCCACTGGGAATGTGCCCGCAACCAAGGTACATGCCCTTGACCGGAATCAAACCTGGGACCTGTCAGTCTGCAGGCCGACGCTCTCCACTGAGCCAACCCGGTTAGGGCAGGCAGGGGTTGCATATATTAAGCGGATGGTGTCAAACTCCAAACCTCGCAGCTGGCACCTCCTGACCCTGGGGGTAGAACACACGGTGCCACCGGCTGCCAGACGTGGGGCCCAATCCAGACGCTCCCTGGTCAGGACTCAAAGCCCTGGCCCTGGGCGGCACCTGCCAGAGACCTCCGGTGGAAGGACGGACGGAAGGACAGACGGACGGACGGACGGACGAGGAGCAGGACACCCGAGAGCCGAGCACCGGGGACCCCCTTCCTGACCTCCGCGGGCAACAGTGTCGGCCCGGGGCGCATCCACGCCCCTCCCCCCACTCGGGGCATCTCAGCGGCTGCGTGGCCCTCCCGTGCCTCAGTGTTGTCACCTGTAAAATGGGAACAAAGACGGCGCCCGCCCGGGGGAGGGGGGGGGGCCGCTGCCTGGGTCACACTCGTGCCTGTGCGTCAGGCCCTTCCCGTCCCCACGATCACCGCCGGTCACAGCGCATCTGATGCGGCACCAAAGCCCGTCCAGTTGTTTTTATTTTTTAATTGATTTGTGTGTTTTCTTGAGAGAGAGAGAGATTGAAGAGCAAGAACCACGCCTCCTCCACGCCCCCTACTGGGAACTGAGCCCACGACCCCGGAACCAAACCCACCCGCGACCTCGGGGCACCTGGGGCGGCGCTCAGCCACCTGAGCAACAGCAGCAGCCCGGCAAGCCTGACTTTTTTTGTTTTGTTTGTTTTTTAAAATATATATTTATTGATTTCAGAGAGGAAGGGAGAGGGAGGGAGAGAGAGAAACATCAATGATGAGAGAGAATCATTATCAGCTGCCTCCTGCACACCCCCTAGTGGGGACCCAGTCAACGCCCCTGAGGCCACGACGGAAGTCCCGCCCCCAGAACGTCTGCCCTCGAGGAAACGACCGTTGTCATTGGCCGAGCATCAGCGCCGCGGAGCGTAGTGCTTTCTGGGAAATGTAGTTCCCGAGGCACTAACCGTGAAGGGAATAGAGCTGCAGAGATAGGGGTAGAAGAGAAATCAGGGTCCAGGACTCCGAATGTTCTTTCTTTTTTTTTTTTTTTAAATATATTTTTATTGATTTCAGAGAGGAAGGGAAAGGGAG